ACCAACCTCCATATTATATTACCCCTCTACATAAATTTAAAAACAAACATCGCAATATCTACCATGCAAACAGGGACACTTAGTCTTACTCCTGTTTTAAATAAATAGTTTAGTATTGTTAGATACGTGTTTGAAATCCTTAATAATGTTTAACAAAAGTAGTTCTTATCCGTGATGCATGATTTTTTATTATTAATTGTTTTTGGCTTTTAACTAGCTTTCTGCGAGTACTCTCAAATCGTACTTTCGTGTTAATTTGACCTGTTGATACAATTTGTAATGTATTTTTGTTATTTAATGTTTACTTATTCGGTGTTATATCTAGTCTCACTATTTTTAATATATACCACCGTTGATAAGTGTTTCGTATGACGATAAATTTTTACTTTTGTTCTCGTACTAGGAACAACAAAATTATTTATTTTGTAAAAATTATTTTCGTACTCCGTGTATACCTTACAACCAAATTATTTTTTTTTTACCTGTGTACGTTATTTTATTTGGCGGCATTTTGTCCAAGGTTGTGGTTGTCTTTCTGATATTTTTATACATCTAACCCCCTTGTTTTATTAATTTTGTGTTTACATTGTGTTATAGATCAAATTTATTCGTTCAGTGTATGTTCACTTGTTTTTGTTAATATGTCTTTTGATTGAGATAAGCCATTTCAATTGATATTTTATAGTGTGTTTTCTATGTTGTGATGTTACACTATTGTTTCAGGTAGGGAGAAGGTTGGCGCCTATTAAAACATTTAAACCCGCTGAATTTGTTTGCACCTGTCCTAAGTCAGGAACCTGATGTTCAGTGGTTGTCGTTTGTTGATGTGGTTCATAAGTGTTTCTCGTTTCTCGTTTTATATAGATTAGACCGTTGGTTTTCCTGTTTGAATGGTTTTACACTGGTCATTTTGGGGGAGTTTATAGCTTGATGTTCGGTGTGAGCCAAGGCTCCGTGTTGAAGGCTGGACTTTGACCTATAATTGTTTACTTTTACAAAGTGTGACTTGGATGGAGAGTTGTCTCATTGGCACTCATACCACATCGTCTTATATCTACTAAATGTAACGTATAGTTCCTGAATAACATTATGAAAAATAGACTCCAGGAAAAATCATAGCAATATTTATTTGCATGTCAAAAAAAAAACAGATCGAGAAAACATTTGATTTCAAATAATATAGTTAATGCTCAGTATGCAAGTTTGCTTTCAGAAAAAACATTTTACGAACCGAGTCATCATAAAAATATTTGAACAACGCTGAAAGGTATGACTCGTTTACAACACTTAGAAAATTTATGCCTTTGGTTTGTTTTACAACCACTGGACCGAGCCCTCCACATCTTGATGTTCCTCCTTGGGGGTAACAACCGTTCGGTGGTCAGTACTCATGCGTTGACATAAAATATCATTTGCTAAAAGGTCATTTTTCGATAATACATTAATCATTACATTACAAATAATTTAATATACTAACGATTTGTTTCAACTAGAGGCATAGATGACTTTAGAGAATGTTGACAAATCCTTGGGAATTTGGGTGTTTCCTTCTCTTCATCTTGGAAATGTATTTTTCTTTTCATTTGCATGTTTTAATTTGAGAATCACTGATAACTCTTCAGTAGACGCTTCTGGAGAACTTAAGTATAAATATGCTTTAATGTGTTTTCTTTAGCATTCGTCGGGTACCAATCTACGTTGATTCTGTAAAGAAGAACCACAAATCAAAATATTCAACGGAATAAAAATATCGTTAAGGTTTGTATGCAAACTCGGACAAAACCACGAAATCAACTATCAACAACAATACAATGTATGTTGTATCCACGAAAATGGATAAGCATGAAATTAATTAAATCCAAACACTGGTAAACGAACTTTGATCTGAAACGGACATTTTGATCTAAACAGATCTTAAACATGTTAAAAGACTGAACAATAGATTATTATTACATTTTATGTCTTTCAGTTAAATTTAAGATTTATCCACTGCGGTCAATTCAGAACTGTTCAGACAATCTGCTTTCAGACAATAAAGATCTGTTCAGTTCATGCTCAAACTTTTCAGTTGTTGCTATTTATCTTTACACATCAACAACATACTGATTATCTGAAGAGCTACTGAACAGTACGTAATTAACTGCAAGCGAATTGTCTAAACAGTCCTCAATTTACCCTAGTAGTTTAGCCTGAAAATTGACCGATAGTCTTAACATGACTTAATACTTTATTGTTCACACTTTGCAAATGATGTTAAGACCAAAACAACCATTTCAGATTTACAGTTGTAGATGTAATTTGGATATTTTTAAAAGGTCTGACTGAATATCAGTGTCTTTAAAATACTGGAGTAACATCAGAAGTTGCTTTGTATTTGCCCTATCAGTACTCTCATCTACCATAAAAGAAAACAAAATCTGATTTATTTACATCATTTACAATATTTCACATAATACTTTCAGCAATACATGACCGATATTCAGTTACAGATGCCTGACTATCATAACTAGCATTTTTAGCTTTACAAAGTTTAGATGACAAGTGTAACCCTACAGAGTCTAACAAATCAATTGGTGCGGAAAAATGGCTTTTAGGGTGATCTGTCACTGCTAGATGATAAGAAACGTTCATGGCAGAAGTGATGTCTTCTTCATTTTCACTGAGTTTATTATCTAACATTTTTGCATAGGCGTTGATCTTTAAATTTCAGGAAAGCCTGTGCATCTATATGATCACGGGTTGTAAGATACAAAAATAAAATTTAGATTTTTAATTAATTTTTTTCCATATTTTATAACAATGTCTTTATTCATATATACTGCAACCAGTTACCTCTGGTGGAGATTTGTCTCATTGGCAATCTGATAATACCACATTTCCTAGTTTTTTTTATATTAAATAATAATAAAAATTATATTCAAAACAATGTTGTTATTATTTTTGTTACAGTCTCAATATGCATCTACCCCACTCTTATTTTATTGAAATATTGAATGCAGAAAACTTACTCCTAGTATGTCTCTGGTGATTTATTCTCTTAGCAGGAACTGAATGAACTGAATGACCAAGAGCATATGCATTGCCTTTTTTAGCAGCACGACAAATTTCAGAGTGCCAAAGACCTTTTGGGTCTTCTTTATACCAATCAAAACAATCTTGTCTCATTACTTTACAAAACTTTTTGGACTTTAAATTTTGATCAGTTTCTTCTGTGATTTTTCTTTTTAAGTTAGATTTTGGGGATTGAGACTGATTTGGTTTAGGGGACTGAACCCCTAACCAGTTAGCCAAAGACATAATACTTTCAAAAAAGTTCAATTTATGTTATCAGTATTAATATAGTTTTGAATGTGATGAACTTTACGGTTATGATGATATGTGGGTTTTAGGGTCCGGCTATCCTTCGGATATTGCGGACTATCGTACCTAGTGTTGCTTGTCTTTTCGCTTTCATTTGCCACCTGCGGTGTTGTTGCTAGTACGGAATGTTTGACCGTTCTAATAGTATGGCAGCTTCTATAGCCTCTTTAGATGTAAGGTTCAAGGACGACGTATGTGGTGGTGTGGTTAGTAGGTCCGGGTCGTCGATGTCAAACCCCTCATCGAAGTCAATCCTACTACGCTTGTCTCGTTCTGTAGCTGAAGTGTAGTAAATGAAGCGATGACATGCCTTTTTGGTGTTGTACGGACTGGTGACAATGTCCGTGTCAACTCCCACTGGTTCACCTCTGTGCTTAGTTGGTGTGAGTTGTTTACCAACTGCTGTGTCCCTGGTTTCCCTCTGACTGTTGTAGTCAACGCTGGCTTTGGTGTTTTGCTCTTTGGCAGCAGCGGGAACAACGGCTGTTTGTGTGTCCATCCACTGGGCAACACTCTTAGTGTTGCGTCTCCTGCTAGATGGTGGCTTGTTTTTCTTTTGCAGAGCCGGCTTAGGGTTCCTGGAGGACGTGTCCGGTTCCTTGGGCTTGATCCAGGTGAGTTGTACTGAAACTTGGTCAGAACTGGTGGTGAATTTCAATTCCGGCTCTTTTCCACCCAATTTTATGGTTACAAGTAAGGCTTTCAATTCATTTGGGAGTTCCATAATGATTGTCCACGAAGTGATCGATTCTAAGTTCAACTCACTTACGGTTATTAAAAATTAAGACAGTTATATACAGTTTATAAATATAAGAAGATGTGGTATGATTGCCAATGAGACAACTCTCCACAAGAAACTAAATGACACAAAATATAACAACTATAGGTCACTGTACGGCCTTCAACAATGAGCAAAGCCCATACCGCATAGTCAGCTATAAAAGGCCCCGAAATGACAAATGTAAAACAATTCAAACGAGAAAACTAACGGCCTAATTTATGTATAAAATAATGAACGAAAAACAAATATGTTACACAGCAACACACGACATCCACTGAATTACAAGCTCCTGACTTGGGACAGGCACATACAGAATATGGCGGGGTTAAACTCGTTTAAAGGCGCCAACCCTATCCCTAACCTGGGACAGTGGTGTAACAGTTCAACATAAGAACAAACTATAAAAATCAGTTGAAAAAGGCTTAACTCATCAGATGGATAAAAATAGCAATACATCTAACAAAAACACAGAGTGGACGTGGAAGGGTACTTATACATTCCTACAACAAAAAAGACACTAAGTACACTGGCAGATAGTTTTCTTTTGATCTATTAATTTTGAGTTCTTGAGTAAAACGTGAAATAACAAAAATACCTAACTCCAAGTAACTTAATTTTCGTGGATTGAGTAAAATTTGAATTTTCGTTGATATTTGATTTCGTGAATTTGACAAATTCAAAGTTAATATTTCTGGGAAAGTCACATGCTCGTTGTATCAAGAAACTTCATGTTTATTGAATTTATTGACATCCTATCATGTTTCATATCAGATATCGTGTACAATATGTTACTCAATATACAAACTTATCGGGTTTTAAAAAATATATGTTTATATATACACAGCTTTAGTGCTATTGTTTTCACGGAATTATCATGTCATCTATATACATATTCCTTGTGTTTGTGTTGCTGCTGGAACAGACGAAACCCACTGTATGTAAGACAAATTCAGCATGTACTGATAACATGGATTCTATGATGTTTCAGGTTATCTGGGCTGGACTGAAAAGTTTGAAACACGAGCCAAATAATCAAAATAATGGAGGTAGGTCAATTATAGTTTTGGGGGGAAATGGATACAAAAGAATGTAGGACGGATGATCATGAGGCAAAAAGGTCATTAAAAAACTTTGAAATAGCCGTTTAAACCGTCTTTAGGAATACCACTGAACGTAGTTATTTCGTTTTGGTTGTACCTTTCACTGCGCCATCAATTGTATTTCAATCTTAAAAATAATTTCCTCGATAAACGATAATCATATATAAGTTTTAAAACAATGCAGTGGTGTTCATACATACACATAAACTCATACACACACGGATATAAATTTAAAAAAAAAAGGTCATAGGTTTACCCTCATAACAGGAAACAAAACGTTGATTAAGGGTAACTAACATAATTATATATTTGTATAACATCTTATATAGTCCTTTGACTTTATTCAAAGTAAATTCAGGTTTCAAGAAACAAATGTTTTAAGATAGCTCCCAGCTATAACACCGTTGATAATCTAATGACTACGCTTGTTAAATATTCCATCCAAACGTTATCATATTTCATTTGCTAAAGTCTTTCATTTATTACAGGAAAAGCTACTGGCGGTTCGAACTACATACAGTGGGGTAGATCAACGTGCACTAGTAGAAATTCGAAGCTCGTTTACGACGGTATGTTGATATTATCATAAGTGCATACAACAGTTCGTTTTATGCTGTGCTGTTACATCACTTCCAAGGTAGGGGAAGGTTGAGCAAGCGTTCACAAACGTGTTGCTTACATCTACGTCATTTGGTCTATGGTGGATAGTTGTCTAATTTGGAATCATACCACATATCCTTGTTCTTATATGAATCTGGCCACATTATTCACATGCCTCTGGCACCTGTTATGTAATGGTTGTCTTTGATTGCTGTATCCTTTGTGATGCTTGTACATGATAAAAATATATTCGTGAGTAATGGGATGTACAGTGTACAATTAGTGATATTGGTGTAATCAGGGGTGTACAGAATTTCACACCTGTGTGGAAAATTCATACACCATGAGGCGCAGCCGAAGGGTGTATACATTTTAAACACCTGACTGTGTAAAATTCCATACACCCCTGATTACACCAAGATAACGAATTTATTTCATATGAAGCGTTCCTTTACTCATTTTATACCGGGATGTAAAATTGAAAAATGTTTATGGAGAACTTCCACTACAACATTTTTTTAACACCGATGTTGCTGCGCATTGTCAAATGTTATCTTCTTTTTGTTGTATTTGAATTTTGCAAAAACTTTTATTTTTGTTTTGTAATTTTTGCATTTTAATTATTTTAAAATTTATTAATTTTAGCAAATATTTTAACTTTTGGAAATTGTGGCAAAATGTTATCCCCCCGGGTGAACAAGGATGGGGTGTTTTTACACTTGGGAAATTAACTAATAAGATTGCAGGATTCTTGCTGCATAAGAAATAACAAAAACAAAGTAAACTGTATCAATGATCAACAATAACATGCAACTCAACCATGAAAACAAAACTCACAAAGACAAGTCTAACAATAAAGGCAAATATAACTAATGAACTGGATTTGTTTTTCCATATTAATTAGAATATCTATTTGTTATGTTTTTATTGTGTGATCCTTATGTATAACTTGGTTCATGTAAGTGATATTTGTTTTGATAAATTGTTTTGTTATAAATTAGGCCGTTGGTTTTTCTTGTTTGAATTGTTTCACATTTTTCATGTCGGGGTATCTTATAACCAAATATACGGCGTGGGTTTGTCTCATTGTTTAAAAGCCGTACGGTAGCCTGTAATTGCTTACATTCACTTCATCTAGTAACTCTCGTGGATAGGTGTCTTATTTGCAATCATACCACATCTCCCCATGTTTATATTGAATGGAATATTATGTTTTCCTCTAAAATAAATAATGCATTATCTCATTTGCATGTATCTGTGAATGCATTTTTTGTCTAAAACTTTTATATCCAATGATCAGTATTTTAAACTTCTACAGGATACACCGGTGGATCGTCTCACACAAAAGAAGGATCAGCAGTCAACCACCTTTGTCTACCCAAACAGCCACAATGGGGAGTTTACGATGCGAAAGTTAACAATAATCCTTTTGTCGGGGCAGCCGTTTTCAACATCTACGATATCGACATAAAAAACTCACTTTTTGACAAAAGCAAATATGACGGGTACAGTTTTCCATGTGCTGTCTGTCATACCAAGATTGGGTCATCAACACTTATGATCCCTGGCCGTAAAGATTGCATTGGGGATTGGAATAAAGAATATACTGGGTACCTAATGTCTGGTTGGCCTGACCATAAGTCTGCAACAGAGTATATATGTGTCGATGCCGATTCTGAGCGATTGAAGAAAGCTTCCAGCTGGACCAACAAGAGTATTTTATACGCTGTTGCCGCCAAATGCAATGGAGTACTACCATGTCCTCCATATGTTGATGGCCGGGAAATGACTTGTGTTGTATGCTCAAAATAAATACATACATGAATATTGAAATAAATAGTTTATTCTCAATTGTTTGTCATATTTTTCCATAAATTAAAATCTACCACATAATTTTAGAAAGGTGTACTAAAAGTTTTCTATTTTGTAAAACTATGTTGTTGTGTTGCAGCCTCATTGTCATTCATCTCCTTTCAATCACATTAGTTTTACAAGAAAAACGAGGTCACGCGTCAATCGAAGAATTAATAATTGCTTAATTGATAATGTTGTAAGTAACTGAAGCCGTTCAAAGCAATTGTGTTGCAGGAGTGTTAGTACGACAAAACAGGAAAATAAAACCAGATAAATTTCTGGCGCACCCGAAAGAACAATATTCAACGGTTTGACTATGATATAGATTATTTTTATACATTTATCTTGACATCTCACTCCAACAGTTAACCCATGCTAAAGAAGGGCAGTCCGTTCGACTTTGTAATGTATAAATAAGCAGTTATGTACGGTGGTTATGTGGACGTTAACTCCGATACCTCTTAGGCGGAATGTTCTAAGCTCTTTGTGTGTAACATATCTTTTAATACAAATGTTTGAGGGTCAGTTGCAAGTGTAAATTTCTGATGCTATCTATAAAGCCTTCATTATCCAGCGAAAGTGTATATTTCCTGTCGGTCTTCTCTTGCGCCACACTTTGCAGAACCTTTTTATCGGATACATTTATTTTTAAATTATTTTTGTCCCATATATATAGGAACATTTTGCCACAAGACGTAAAGCAAACAACAATTGAAAAGCTGGCCCTGCAAACTGATGCTCCACAAACTGCACATTTATTTTAGAGAAAATATTGCTATTTCAAGAGTTGATCTTGACTTTTGACCTTTTGAACTGAAAAACAATATGCTTTTTTCCCTTTTCTATATCATCCATCACTACACGTTTCGGTTTGAACCAAAATAGGAACCTTAATCTAATTACCATCCCAAAACCAAATTTAAAAAAGCGAAATGTATTTTAAGTAACAGTGACCTTAGTATTCGATTTATTGACCCTTGTGTCAATGGTCTTTTTCCCCTTTTCCATATCTTCCATCTGTACAAATTTTACGCAAATCAATGAGGGAAAACTATCATCTTAAACCATGTTCCCTAAATTTGTCTATAATTATAATTAACGGTGACCGTGTTTTGACCTCTTGACCCCAAACCAAAAGGCTTCTTTCCTTAGCTATGTCTCCCACCAGTAGATGTTTCATTCTAATCAAGTTATTCAATCCAATATTTTTATCACAAGTGTATTATAAGGGTATGTGAAGATTTATCTGAATAAATCGGAAAAAAAATCTATTTTTAGAAACAATGAACTAGACCTTTGACCCAACAATCAATGAGCTTTTACCCTTTTCCTGTATCTTCAATTTGTATTCCTTTCATTTCAACCAAGCAAGAGACACTCAAGTTATCAGCAGGAAACCATTTGTTTCTGATACACAGATGGACGGACTAAATGCTTCCGATTTTTTTTTTTTTTTTTTTTTTTGCGAAGCTTTACGATAAAAAACTTTTAACAGCAAATGTATGAATAGATATTTCCCTCCCCTAAAAAACAAAATAAAAGCAAACAAACAAGTAAACATAAACAAGAAACAAATAAACAACCGAAGAAAGAAATACAAAAAAGAAGGAAAGCATTGCTTTTAAGTTATTCGTTTTACTACAGATCGAAAAAATCAGAACGTATTTTTTTTTTTTTTTAAATCGTTTAATTTTTGCAATTATGCTACTATTTCTAGTCTTTTGTGAAGAAAGTATCTATCTAAATTGAATTTAAAACGTGTCTAGTCTCAGGACGATTTATTGATTGACACATTATACAAACGTTTGCATACTGTTAAAGACGGGGTATGTTGCCCTACAGCCTTCCTATCTGGTGTTATTGAATTTTTCAGTTGCTGTCTGATTGACATTCACCCTGCATTTCTTTGTTGATATATGTTTTCCTTTAAAAACGAAAAAAGCTAAAACAAGAAAAGTTTACATGTATTGTCTATTAACACATGACATAGACAAAATCTCTTTGTTGTTCTGTACTATAATCTGAATAATACACAGTTAAGGTGTGCATCAACAACCTCAGATATACTGCACAGTTCAAATGTACTTTTATCTCTAGGGGCGTATCCAGGATTTTTCAAAGACATAGGGGCGTAATTCCATAAAAAGAAGTTTGACGATTTTAGGATTAAGAATTATATATTTTCCAATCAAAAGGGGGGCGTACGCTTTCTTCTCCCCTTTTTGAATCCGCCACTGACCAGGAAATTACGACATAGTTGATCGATTAGCAACTTTGTATACACTTTGCCGTTTCAAATTATGAAACTGAAAGTGCTTCTCATTACTGAGAACACTTTATGATAGTATGTGTACAATTTAAATCTTAAAGCAGTGTTTCAAAGTCAAACAAGATAAAAAAAAAATGTAATTTCTTAAAATATCCAAATAGCTGAAACCTGATTTGGATTAGTTTGTTACAAATATCAATTCATTTTAAGTGACTATTTTGGGATCGAATTTAATGAGGTTTATATTCAAGTATGTGCCAAAACATAAACAAAATATACTAGTTAATAGTTGGAGATCTATCATACTTCGTTTAGATGGGACATGTCTTCAGCAATGAATAAAGATGAAAAATATGGTGGTGAGGGAGGGGGGGAGTTAAAGATTGAAAAGTGATTTTTTTTTTCTTTACTTTTTCTATAAATTTAAGAATATCTCTCTTCGATTCATTTTAAACTAAGCATATTCTTGAGGAAAAGAAAAGCAATACATCTATACTCAATAATCCTTTCATTTATGATTTGTCATACACCGATTTAAAAGTATATCAAACGGAACTAAAACTGTAGGAGATGTGAGTTATACGCCAATAAGACATTAATCAAACGACAAAAACTACTTAAGCAACATATAGTGTTCAACAATAGACAGGTGTCTAAACAATATGTCAAGTTCTAACTCGTTTATGTCGGTTCGAAAGCTCACTCAAAGCTTATGTTGTATTGTTATTCAACTTGCCGACTCAAAAGTAAACTTATTTGATTTGATTTGATTGTCACAAAATTATATAAAAATTGTGAATAAATTTAACAGAAAAAATCAAAGATCTCAATCTGCCATTAAAAAACAATTCTCCAAATACTGTAACAATTTAGGAAAAAGCCTGAATATCAAAAAAGTTGTAATTCAAAAGTTACCAACCTTTTACTTTTTAAATGCGTATTTTCATTTTCTTTACCCTTACTTATAATTTTCCTGGTGCCGTGGATTGAATATCGTCCGAATACTTCCAAAACGTTCATGTAAATTATTGGTGTCATGTGTTAAAACAGTTATTGACCAATCAATTCGGTATATATCATTTAATCTGCACGGTCGGGATGACCCATTAACCCGAACGACGTAGTTAAGAGCTGTGCAGATTAAATGATATATACCAACTTGCTAGGTCAATAACTATCACTTAAATTTCTAATTCTTATTAATAAAGTATGACGTCTTGTTCACCATATTTAATAAGGCGCACGTTTGACTAAGCGTCTCCGTGAAGGGTAATATAGTATTTTCCATTGGATAGAGTAAATTATCTCCCTCGTATTAACCAATTAAGTATAATAAACATAAATGTCAATAATTAATTCATTGTTTGAATAAAGTTGTCGCTTCGAAAGTTGGATTGTTTATGGATAAAACCCTGGTTTTCTCCTTAACAATGGATGTGTCGATGTCGAAGGCATGGCTGCTTAATTGTAACCAACGTCTAAATGTTTGACAGAATATTCAACCAGTTCTGGTGGGAATATTTTCTGTTCTGTCTTATCCCTTATTATTTAGCCTCTGTATCACCGATTACAGTCTGTTGTGTTTGGGGGTTTTTTTTGGCAATTATGCGGTTTAAACTGTAGGCCTTAAAATGTTTTTTTTTTTTTTTTTTTTTTTTTTTGCAGTCGTTTTTTTTTTTTCATTTCAGTATATGGGAAGCATTTATGGCATGAATCTGTTTACCATGACATGTGGTGACGTGGTTATAGCAGTTGACATTGCAGTCGTAATCAAACCTCTCTTGTAAATGACGTTGCGTATAGAAATTTTATTGACGTGTTGTCATTACAGGTTGATGTGGTCATGGGTGGTCATAACAAACCATGTCTGCCAGTACCGTTGTTCTAAGGATTGTAAGAGGAGTTCCTGACGTGAAATTGTCTAATAACAGCATGTTGGCGTATACATGCCTTCAACATTCTTATGGCCTCACTCGGATTTTTATTGCTCAGTATGATTTGCAACATTTTTACTGAATAAAGTGTGGGTATGAATTCGAAGAAATGTTTCACGAAGAAAAACAAAACTTCAAAAAAATTCATCCTTTGGTTTTAAATATCGCTTTAAGGTAGGTCAGGCATTGCATTTTCCTAAACAGAAAGAAGTATGGTAAGCGTATGTGCAGATTAACCAAGACTTGGTAAAAAAAAACACAAAATTGTGTTTTGCAATTTTATAGTCAGTCAGTATATGTAAATATTGGAGGTCGGTCAATTTAAAACGTATGTATCTGGTGATATACTAAAATTATGAATAATAAGACCCCGATCCAGTGTATAACACGATTAAAAAAATGACAAGGTTAAACAATTCAAGCAAGAAACTAAGGGCATACAATGAGGTTTCGTTGAGATATCACTGTTTCTGAATCAGTGACGTTTTCTAAAAAGTGCTTCGGAAGCCCAAAATTAATAAAGTGTCTTCAATTTTTTTTTTTTTCAACGTTGCAGCACGGGTGTTCTGTAGACTTTTTTTTCTTTTTGTCATTTGTCATGGTAACGGCGTATGCTTTTCCTCCATTTCTGCATGTTTTTTCTTCTTAAACTTCTGCCCCATAACGAACTCGAAATAGATACTCAATTGAATGGTCGATGAGGGATAATGAAAGAGTTGGCAATACCTACTCACAAACGCTTGGTTACATGATTTCGATGTCGTGTTTTCCCCATTGTTTTACACTGAACATTT